GCTCACGGAGCCTGTGACAGAGAGGTTACATCGATGCTTTATGGTTTCATTGCAATATTACCATGCCTCTTGGTAAATAGGCAGAACTATCTTGCATCTTGCAAAAAAATCAACATTTCAAGATACTATACTTGAGTGAGCCGACCATCATTAAGATACTGTGCATCATCAAGCCGATCTTATAATATTATTTCCACTCTTCCATCCTATTTTCATGATTTTTACCAACTATTCAAATATAACTTTTCAAATATTGGTTGTCGTCCCCGCGGCCAGCACTACACCGGCCACCGGATATGAGCTCCAAACCAATGTAGATGAGCGCATCCTGAAACTGTACGGTTAGTGAAGCTTTGAATGCGGTTATTTTTCACTTATTTTTTAATGCATCATGCTGACTATATACCGCAAGCATATCATAATGATGACTGTAAACATTCGAATTCAATAAGTTGTTCAAGGTTTTATTTACATTTGTGCTGAATACAAGTGCTCATATTGCGCTCTACTTGGCCAAAGTGTAATCGCAATGCTTAGGCTGATTCATTAATTATATTTGAGTGCTTAACGCGCACTTACTCCACGGAATCATTTAATTCCAAGCCTCTTTAGTGCAACCACGCACTGCGTGTGTACCAAGAACGTGCGAATTAAACAAGTATTAACGAAGATTAATTTATTAAGTCATCACAGAACAATAATTGAATCCAGCGCAATCGAGGTGTCTTAAGGGACTAGGGCAAGGCCGCCACCCCGATATGAGCTCAAGTGTCATATCTTTTGGCATCGCGCCCGCGCAATGAGCAATAAGTATGGTAAATAGAACAATTAACTAAGCAAAATTTATGGTAAATTATCGTAAATAAAACAGTTAACTATAATAAAGGCATTAAGCAATAGGCATGGTAAATAGAACAGTTAACTATTATAAAGACATTAAACGTTTTTCGGACGCGTAATCGATACAATCCAAAGGTCACGCGATTGCTTCTAGTGAATGAATAACAGACAAATTCCAAGGTAAAATATAAACATGATTCTCCAAACAGCCAAACTTTTTTTAGAATTTCAATTGTACCATGAAAAACATAATTTCAAAGTGCGGATGTTGAGGGCATTGAATAAACTGCGAACAAACATCGCGTCATTTTTTGTGTCAATGTCAACTCTTATCACTGATAATGACCGCAAATAAAAGGCGAAAAGATCACAAGGCAAGGTCGGGAGCAGAAGAGTGGCATGAAATATGTGTTCGTTGTATGCTATACTAAGAGCAGCAAGCGTTGTACCATAATCTGTACCATACGTACAGGTAAGTGACAGAATAAGAAGAAGCACATTATAGACACTCGATCTTAGTATTTGATGAAAACCCACAGCGTTCATTTTGATAATAATCCAGTTAAAGCGATACCACATTCCCCTGGATGGAATGTGTGTTAGAAACAAAACCAAATTAAGAGCTGCCATAAGTTGCTAACCACATAACTGTCGGCGTCGTGGTCTAGTTTGCATGGTCTACTATGCGCGGTCTAGTATGCATGGTCTACTATGCATGGTCTAATATGCGTGGTCTAGTATGCGTGGTCTACAACGCGTGGTCTAGTATGCGTGGTCTAGTATGCATGGCCTACTATGCGTGGTCTAGTATGCATGGTCTAGTATGCGTGGTCTAGTAGGCCTGGTCTAGTATGCATGGTCTAGTATGCATGGTCTAGTATGCATGGTCTAGTATGCGTGGTCTAGTATGCATGGCCTACTATGCGTGGTCTAGTATGCACGGTCTAGTATGCGTGGTCTAGTATGCATGGTCTAGTATACATGGTCTAGTATGCGTGGTCTAGTATGCGTGGGCTAGTATGCGTGCGCTAGTATGCGTGGTCTATTATGCGTGGTCTAGTATGCGTGGTCTAGTATGCGTGGTCTAGTATGCGTGGTCTAGTATGCGTGGTCTAGTATGCGTGGTCTAGTATGCGTGGTCTAGTATGCGTGATCTAGTATGCATGGTCTAGTATGCGTGGTCTAGTATGCGTGGTCTAGTACGCATGGTCTAGTATGCGTAGTCTAGTATGCATGGTCTAGTATGCGTTTAAGAACACATATGATCGACTCTTGGCACTCGACCAGATCTCACGCAGTCTGCCTAGGCGCGCCAGCCACGCGCTGCGCATGTGGTGACATTGCAAGGGCGCGTCTATGCTTGAACTCGATTAATATTTTCTTATTCAAAAAATAAAACTTCACAGCGTTATTGTCTATTTCCAATCACTAAGAAAGCGAATAACAACTTGATGCACTAATAAACCAATAATGCTGCTATCAAAATAATTAAAGCAGCCAATTTTGGATTAACAGATCTTTTGATTTTTAGATTTAACATACATGATGCGGTAAATTTTATTTTTGGTTCGTAAAGCCTTAACTCAAACTGCCTGACCTTCTTACAGTTCTTTATTTATCGATAGTATATCATCGAAGCAAACAAACTCAAAATATAATAGTGAATTCCATCAATCAACAAGTTAACCTAGTTGTTTCAAAGAGCAATGCGTTTAATCAATTATTACTTCACAATTATTTGAAGCCATTCCACGACAACAAATATTTTCTCCAACAAAAATATTTCTTCGCGGACTCTTTGTTTGTTCACGTTAAACAGTTCCCAGAGAAAATTCAAATTCTGAGTATCTCAAGAACATTTCTCTGTTCGATGCCATGAAGATTCCTTAATTAGTTACACTCGGGATCTATTTAGACTCGGAAGCCAAGCCTTCGTTTCTGTGTTTCACAGCCGAAGCTAATGCCTCTGGACTCCGAAGTTTAAAAACGAGAAAAAAAACACTTACAAAAAACCTTCGATCAATACAGCTAAAGCCATTACTAAAACTTGCTATTAAAAATATATAGCTCTAGTTCCTTTATTGCTCCTGCAAAACAATTTCAATAATAGCACAAAAAATAACGGTCAGTTCCGCAGAACTCAATTTTAGTCTCACAGTGATTAATCGATCAAAAGATTCCAGCTAGTTAATTTTCGCTGTTAGATTTAAACTGCAGCTGCGAGACACTCGACACACGTGGTGCAAACATGAGTGGTACATAAATGTTTCACATCCAATATTTGACCTTCGAGATTAGTGGAATCAAACATAAGTGGGACGAAAAAGCCACAATGGTAGCTGGTACACTAAAGCTGGCTAGAGGACCAAACAACTCTTATATTTTATATAAGTGCTTGTAAAAAAGTAAATTCAAAATATGGTTTGCGGCAGAACCAAGGGCTTTTCGCTCCACATTTATTTTCTATTTTTTCGTCACGTTTAATGATGAACTAAAAACCTTCCTACCCTCGATTTCACCCCCATTCAAAATTAAGATATTATTTTAGCCTCTTTTTTTAAATTTTAAGGAAAGTTTTTTTTATTTCATTCTCACAGCAAATTTTAATGAATGACGTTCTTAGTTTTAATAAATTATAAATTAAATTAATTGTCAAATCTCCAATAATCAGATAAAATGTGACAATATACCGTGCATAATACCAAGCGGGCTTCAAAAACGATGACAATGATAATGACGATAATAATTATAATGACGATGATGGTACTGACAATGACGATAATAATGATGATTACGATGACCCCCAATAACGTAACTCAAGTTTAGCTCCTGAGGTCCGTTTAAGTCTAATTCCAACAAAACAAATTCAAATTTTACAATTCTGTCTCACGGCAAATCTCTTAATTAGGAACAGGGCATCGGGATGCTTTTTATGGCTATAATACCGTACACCGAATGCAGTGTATGAAGTTGGGTGTGTATTGGTTTAACACCAGGATTTTAACACGATGAAAGAAAATACAAATGACTATTTAGATGAATGAGGAATGAATAATGAATGTTTTTACGAAATACATTTGAATAAATGAAAATGAATAGAAAAGCATGGATAGTATAAATGTGAAGTAAATGCTTTGTAATTCAGCTACAAACTCTTATAAAATGAATTTTATATTTATGGAAATTTTACGAATTTGCATAGAAAATTTATAGGAAAAGAAGAGGTAATGTAAAAATCCTGTAGAAATAATGAGAATGGGTAAAAAAGAATAAAAATTGAATGGACAATGAAAACGTATCATGTGTAAATGAATAAAAAATGCAGAGAAAGGATTTTGAAAAGGTATGAAATAGGGACGAGGTTTGGGGATAATATATGTTGAATGCATTACAATTATCTGAATATGAAGGGAAGAGACAAGAATAAATGTATGCAAAAATGTTATGGTGTAATACAAAATGCATAGAACAACAAATAAAAATGCATTTAATATTTACGAAAATGTAGGAGAAATGTTATTGAAAAAGAGTGTGATGCATGAATCGAAATTTTTCGGACGATATGAGAAAAATTTTTTGGAAAATGAATGGCAAATAGATAAAAAATTTGCATGAAAACGATGAAATAGATAGAAAATTAATAAACATATGCTGAAATTTTCCTGATTGTGTAAAACTTGCATAATATGTACAAAAATTTAAGGGGAATTGAAGGAGAGAATAAAAATTTATACAAATTAGTGCACATGGTCATTTATATGAGTAAAAATTGTTTAGAAAACTACGCAACAGCAACGAACATGAATGAAATACGTTTGTCTTGTATATGCATGGTGAATAATTTAATAATGAACGATAATTGTGAGGCAAAATTTCTTGAAAGTATTACGAAAAGTAAACGAGATTTGAAATGCTGTAAAAACTGTACGGAAAATGTCTGCAGAATATATGCACCATTTTAATGCTTGAACTTCAAATAAATTGCGACAGTATTAGCTGTATGGGTTAAAAGAAGTGAAATTATGATCAAGCCCGTAAATAATATCCTGGGATAGAGTTAGTAAGAGAAACCTCCAACTTCAGAACTCTACTCTCTGCGGAAGTTGGACTCAACCTTAATACAAGTATTAATTAATTTAATCTTATCAGTATTATCTTACCTGCGTAATTATGTATGCTTTGGCGGCGATGGTCGGGATGGAAGCCATTGACTGTCCCATGCTAAACGCAACGAACGATCCCTTCTCAGGGTGCAGCTCCATGTTGACCCGCGACAGGGTCTCTTTTAGGGACACCATCGATGGTCTAGAAGCCATATTAAGTCCCGAGTTCGAAGTCCCAAGGGTCCCAAAAGAGGCCCGGGAACCTCGTGCAGCTAGAGACACGCACGAAGGGCGCGTGGTGATCCTCTCATTGACGACGTGCAAGAAGGCGAGGCTTTCCCTCTTGCTAAGGTCTCCCAGACGCTCATCTTCGTCTTCTCCTATCGTCATCTGGATGCGGGCGTTGAGCGGCACGTTCGCCGGGTCCCTAGCGTGGCACTCATCGGCATGGTCGTCCTCTCCGTCGTGCAAAAGAGCATCGTCTTTTTGTGGGGACATCGGGTCCTTTAAAAACAACTTTTATTAGAAAAAAGGCGAGAAAAAATTTGTCACTTGGTGATAGAGAATAACAAGCCCCCGAAATAAAACGACGTAAATTGTCAAAGAGATATTATGAGTAATTTTTAATTACTTGTTTATTTAATTGTGCGCATAGCTCCTTGATAAGAAAAAATGTAATCATGCAAGTTCAATTTTTAAATCGGTAATTCCCGAGGCTCAATTCTACTAGCACTTTTTAGTTTAACATAGCACAATATGGCATAACACAAACACTTTTCAGTAAATTTGATGCAAATTTTTTTAAACGAACTTTAATGTACAAATTCTCACAGTAAGTAATCTTTTGCTCTCCCAGGACGTTTCAATGATGGAAACGAGAAAATTTTGAACCGTGGTGGGTTTCTCGGGAGTACTTAGATGAAGAAGTCAGCAGTGGAATGAAAGATCACATGGCCGCTCAAATTCTGAACATGCGGATAGTCGAGAAAGTTCCGTCGATATTTCGGTTCCGCAGTAAGCTATTTTCTCTCCACAAAATCACCGTTTTCTCATCGATATCATTTCAAACGATCTTAATTTATTCTTTAAAGATCGATATTGCGCAGAGAGTTTGGGCACCAAACGAACGCGACGTGCATATCCTCCACGTTTCACCGCGAGACTGAGCAAGTCGCTCGATACGGCAAGATTAGGAAGCACCGCCATGTTACTTGCAGAAAAAGTATACATTTGCCGCAGAGACGCAGGCCTGAAGAACGAATTGCCTTTTCCGCTACAAAATAGAAATCAATAAAAATTGTCGTTCTCCCACATTTCATGGAAGGATCGCGATTTACGATCAATATTTGATGACGTCAACTAAAATAGGGAAAGAGGCCAGCGACTATTTACAGTGTTGAACATTAGCGGTGCACGAGATAATCACTATATTCATAATACGTTAGATCGTGAACTTATTTTAATAATTTTACTTTTAAAATGTGCTCAGTAAACTTAATTCGAAGAATGAAAAGGTCAGAATGACCACGATTTTTTTAAATAATCAAGTTCGTTAGAATTTTCTACATGGCGAATGATCCGTTTCATCCGACCGTTGCTTTCTTTTTTATCGGGCACCCGAATAGACTTAGAAAACTAATCTGATGTGTTTAAGGCATGTATCATTCAACGTGTTTATGTTGTGTTTTAATTTGTTATCTGATGAACTTAAGAAATGTATTATTAGATATCCCAACAGCTGTTAAATATTATACATGTCCGATCACGTTATGCATGTTATTGGCTAGATGTTATTCGATGCGTGAAGCATGCATTGTCATTTGATGTTAAGAACAACATTAGGAACCGAAAAATTTCGTTGCATTTCATGCTCAAAAATTTATCACGTTCCCAACCCTGAGGTCTTGTGTGGACGTGATCCATTCACACGTAGTGTCGCTATGGTAACGGTCGCCGCACAACCGCCATGACGCAATATCTTCCGACTCCGGCGAAGAAAAAACGCATGGATACATCGGAACCGGAACATTCTGGTACGACAACGTGGACACCAAGCATGATAAGGATCAATAAAACGCTCACGCACGTGTAATCATCGAGATACAAACATATGTTTTTAACGAGTGGATTGAACTTTTGTTCATCTTTATTTTTTTTAATAAAGTATAAATGTTTCCATACAACTATTCAAAACATAAATTATTTGCGATTCTGCTCGTGCAGTAAACGTACAAGGAGAACTTTCAACAGTTTCAAGACGCAACTGGTGACTTTTGCGTGTATGACCAGATTTGTTTGTATGTAGGGTTTTTAATCAATATTCTCATCCACACGCGCTGATTTTGAGCGGTCGCCTGACTCTTTTATGTCTAGAATATTAATGTTTCTGACAAACAAAAAACAGGAACGACATCAAATTTGATTTGTTTTTCTTAACTTTATGATTTTACATTGATTTGGACAAATAACGATATCATTGTATACCAACTCGAATTTACTAGACATCGATGAATTCATGAAGTAAACAAGTAAAAACTATCCTTCAATGTGACAAATAAATTATTCCTTTGTGGTATTTTCTTGCGTCTTTTTCCTTGGTATTTTTGATTCCTATGATTGTGCGTTTCACCCAGAACTCACTATAAGGATCAATTGAGGTTTGTTGTGCGCAAATGATGCTTCTCAATATACGCTCTGGCAAATTGACTAATTATATCTTTGCATTCGCCGACCCTGGCCTAAATAAGGTATGTGCGCACACATAGGCTGACCTCTCATTGTGGAGAGCCGCAAGCAGTGCAGTGTGCTGCGTGTACCTCAGAGTAGGTGGCGGGCAGCAAGCAGTGCAGTGTGCTGCGTGTACCTCAGTGTAGGTGGCGGGCAGCAAGCAGTGCAGTGTGCTGCGTGTACCTCAGTGTAGGTGGCGGGCAGCAAGCAGTGCAGTGTGCGTGTACCTCAGTGTAGGTGGCGGGCAGCATGCTGTGCAGTGTGCGTGTACCTCAGTGTAGGTGGCGGGCAGCATGCTGTGCAGTGTGCGTGTACCTCAGTGTAGGTGGCGGGCAGCAAGCAGTAACGTGTGCGTGTGCTGCGTGTACCTCGGTGAACTTTTAATCCTATTCAGTGCGCCTCGTTTTTCTTCCGGTGTACGTCCTTCCTATTACTCAATAATGGACCATCAGAATATTCAACAGTCCGTGAAACCCTGAAGTACAACGACATTTAAAAGACATTATACCTGTATATGAATATGAAGCTATAGAATGCAGTTAACTCAGATTACATTCAAGTATCAATGTATCAGTAACGAATAGTTTTTGTCTTAAATGTTCAATTTATCAACATTACCGGAGCAGGTGAACCCAGTAATTTATGTGAGCAGTCTCGAACCGTTATATTGCCAAGCCGGAAAGCCCGACCATTGTGCGTCCAAGCAAAATAAGGCGACCTTGCTGAACTGATCACTGGATAGCGTGGAAATGGAAGGTTGCAGACAAGCGAATAATTGGCTAAAATAACTTTTTATATTTAATAATTATATTTTATTCCCATATTAGACGATTTTTATCATTATTTGCACTACCATGTGTAGTTTGTTGGAAATATCTCTATACTAATACCTAATTTATGAGTGCGAGTTAGAATACTCGTGCATTTGAAGCCTGCGATTCATGTTATTCATTCCATACATTTTAGGCTTCAATTCATTTTCACATGATTTTAACCGAAGATTGAAGTACTTGAATGGACATTTCAGTATTATAGAATGCGACCTTAACGTCCAGCAACAGTGTTTTCATTGTCTTAATAAATAGGCGCAATTACGTTCTACTTTCTGCAATTCTAGCCCGGAAAGATCAGTGGCCCGAGATTCAAAATCCCGTCTCTCAAATCAAATATGACCTTTCAAATCAAATCAAAAGTCTTTCAATCCCGAAACGATTTCGCCTATCTAACATGACGATGGACAGCCATGAAGTTTGCATATAGATAAACAGATTTAGACATTTCCTTGTGACAGTTTACTGTCCCAGTTGTAAATTCAGCAGCAGAGCAGCAGAATGCAACAAATGACGGGCTGCAGCAAATGAAATACGAGGGCTCAGAAATGTGCGACCTGCGACCGAGTTGGCTGCGTTTCAAGCCGAGTCAAATACTGGATCATTCCGGCTGCTTTATGATGCAGTCTTGCATAACACCTTGTCACTTTAAATCTTCTAATACGTTTTGTTGTGTTTGTGAAAATGCCCAGCCTTCTGCCTTTCAGAACATTCATGCTATTATTCATAGACTATTATACTTACCTACTATTATTCTTACTATTCTTATACTTTTATACTATTCATACTTTTCTTATACTATTCATGTCATCTTCATCCTCATCGTTTAGTTTGCCAAATTTCAAGCGGACACTTCGTTCTAGACGATGAATATTATATACATCTATAGATGCAATAAGAAATAAATAATATTTCTTTAGTAAATCCACCAATTCTACACCGTTGACTGTAGAATACTACCGTACGTAATACACTGTAAGTATAATCTTACATTATTATTTCAGGGAAGAATCAAGGTCACGGCAAAAATGACGGAGAGATAAAACTCGTACAATGACAGTTCCTGAGTCTGCTGTCGTGATCTGACTCGTGGGTTGCTCTTTTTTTTCTCCACGTTATCGCGTTTTCTGACACATACGTTTTTGCAGATAACGATCGAGGAGTGTATGGGAATAGTTGATTACAATGAGCTGGATGATGGATGAATGCATTCTTGATCTTCTGGACATCAAAGATTAATGAGAATCGATAAAAAATTCATATTTATTATTTATATTTATGCTATTGTAAACACTTTTGATGATGGATCCTGGACTCCCCGCTCAAAATGTAATTTTTTAATAACGATTGAATAGATTTTAATTATTTTTCGGGAAAATTTATGAAAAAACTAATGTTTAAAAGAACTACGCATTAAACTTTAAACAAAAGACAACAATGTTGCTGGGACATTTATTTTACGTCACATATCCAAACAATGCTAAACGAAGTTCATTACATTTACTTGGCCGACTTTACAAAAAAAATCTTCCTAATCTTACAATATAGACAAAACTTTACAACAAAAGGCTGCCGCTTCGCTCGAGTGCCTCATACTACAGTTCGTTTTGTAGCATTATTTTGTGCCAACTAATTAAATGTGAATCTAAGTGTAATTTCATCAGTGTCGAGTATATACGGCATGAAATAGCTTTACCTCCAATATGTTATACGTAGCCAATGCTTTCAAATTATATGATATGTACTTGCACATAACTAAAAAAGCGCTCAGAATTGATAATAATCTTGGTAAAGCCTTGCGCTTAACTAACCGTGCATGACTCACAATGAGATATGCGCGTGAGCTAATGCCACAGTGGTATTACTCGACGATAGTTCTTCTGCGATGTTAGGGAAATAAATGTAAAAGAACTTCTGCGATGTTATAGTTTAGTGTTTCGAAATTTT